CAAGGCTATAAACAATGTTTTACATGGATTTTCTTATTTGATTTTTACAGCAATATTACAATGTTTCTGAACAAATATTATTATTCTTTTTTTGAATAAGAAACTATGGTACACAATAGTAAGTGATTTTCCCAAGCTCACACAATTAACCTAGAGCTCACACTCAACCACTGAGTTATATATAGTCCCTAAGAGTCAAAAGATATAATTTTTGGTAGGTATTGCCAAACTGCCTTACAAAACTGTAACGATTTACATTCCCTCCAATAGTACGTGTCAATGTGTACAGCTCACATCTTAGCCATCAGAGGTTACTATTCTACTTAACCCTTTTGCTCATCTGTTAGGTGAGATCATCATGTTAATCTATAAAAATCAGGGTTTCAAATTTATGAAATATCCAATTATCATGGAACTTTTTTGAAGAAATCTTAATAGAGATGATTTCTATTCCAAGGACTTCACAATTGGAGTAAGGTTTCTAAAATAAATTATGGAAAAATTCTCATTTTAATACCTAAAATATATACATGTTATTTTTAAACACAAATTTATTTGAGCTAAGTGGACCCTATGCAGCTTCATAACATCACCGTGAGGCAATAGGAAGGCTCACCCAAGATGAACAGCTTTGAGGGGCTCAGTGTTTCTGAGTTAATTATTCTCATTCGTGATTAGAGAATATTTTGCAAATACAATTTCAAACTCAGATATGAAATCCCTTTAAGCTGTTTTGAGGAAGACCTGGTTCTTTTACCAACACAGAGTGATGGATCCACATACCTTTTCCTCCCTTTTGCTGGAGAACAGTTTGTACCAGCTGATTTTCAGGGATGTTCTGCAGAGATGGGTGAATATTTCCTTCAAAATAGAGGTCTGCAGCACTGTTCTATATAAATAATACAGCAGAATGTTAACTGGGACTTTCCATGTGTCCCCCAATTGGTGGCTAAAGACAAAAGCTGGGGGCAAAAAGAGTGCTAAACATTGTCCAAATGCTAAAAAACACTACTGCAGGCAGATAGCTCCCAAGGCAGAATTCACATATATAGAGAGGACCTTGGGTCACGGGGTAATCTTTGGCTTTGTATGGAGTTCCATATTCTCCCACTCCCCCACGAGAAAGGAGAGAAGAATGCTTTTCTCCTCCCCACCTAAAAATGTCCAACAAGAAAACAAGATCCAAAAGAATCATTAATAGAAATTGAAGTGCCAGCAAAAAGTAAGGTGGGCTTTCATTCCTGCAACGGATGTCTAGCCAGGCAAGAAGAGATAGAGGAGAAAGACGGCCGTGAAGGGAGGGCAGGGCCAAGAGAGAGGCCAGAAGGAAGAAGCCTGAGCTCCTACCATTACATATGACAATCATATTTCGGTTTCCATGAGTTAATTACACATGGTGGAAAGGGCTGGACTTAAGCCATCTTACCATACCCCACTAAGAAGACTGCCTAGCAAGTAAGGAATCCCTAACCACAAGGGGCTATGCAGTGTATGGAAGGATGTTGGGAGTTTAAGTGGAATAGGGTTGCCAGATTTAGCAAATAAAAAGATTGGGCATCCTGTATTTTACCTGGCAACCCTAGTGGAAGCAGAAGAGCTTAAGCTGGAACCAAAAATCCCTCTTCAAAGAAATGCCTTCTGAGAGGCCCTGACAGAACAATTCACAGGGTCAGAAAAAGGACTTTTTATATAGCATGGTTGCATGTAATGATTGAAGAAAAAGAAAAAATCATTTCATATTTATACCCCACCACATTCAGACTGCTTTAATAAAATGGATACAGATACATTAAGAAAAACAATGTAAAAGAACACACAGAGAGATAGACGGTGGAGATATATCCTTTTGCAGGAGGCTATTAAAATAGAAATAAATTGATCCAATATATGTAGATAGATAGCTCTGAGCTTGGGAGAGAAAATAGAGCAGGTTAATACAAAATTGTAGGTAAAGCCAGTGCAGGGGACATTTGAGCCTTTGCCCTGTGGCCTTTAGGGAACTATCATAACTTTTTACAATTTTTGGATAGACTAAGGAGAAGCAGCGATGTGAGAACCCTAATAACACCTCCTCTTTATAGAAGTCAATCATACTAGTCTGCAGCTGAGTGAAGAGCAACGATAAAGGGCAGTTTCTTTCTTGACAGCATTGCTAACCACTGACTGTCAAACTCACGCCACTGATGGCCATGAGTAAGCATTTTCTCAGTCAGTGCTGTCTTTAAGCTGGGTTTCATCTAGCATACACGAATTGGAAGGTTGATGTGAACAGAAAATTTGCCTATATCAGGGAAGATATATCCTGGTACATGTACTCACTATTACTGTTCTCCAGTTATAGACAGGATCCTCTGCAGGCAGCACGCCATAGCAGTTGGAATTTCCTCGGACATGAGAGCAGTGGTTGATGAAAGTCAGGTAGTTTTTGTAATCTAATTTAGAAACAGAAAAAGAAGTTAAAGTTAAAATTTCAAGCTAAAGTGTGTATTTATGTGTGTGCACGCTTATATGTTTATGTGGTTGAATATGCACTTGCTCCCTCCCGTGTTATTTTATCACTTTGCATTCCCCTATGGTATTTATTGCACTTTGCTGGTATTACAGATAATCTTACATATCCCATTTCTCTTACTAGGGCACATGATCTTTGCAGGTCAAGATCTCATGATTCCTTTTATCTTGGAACTGCCCGAAATACCCTGTGTAAACTCAATAGGCAAAATATCTACATCTCATCTAGACTATGTTTCTATTGTCTGTAGATTAATGAGAATACTTATTCTCCCAAGCAGAATATATCTTGGATGGGCGGAAGGTGTTTAAGATAAATTAGAATAATCGAAAGCCCTTTATTTAGCTATTAGATAAATAAATGTCAACGAGATACACTTAATAGCAAATAATTATGTCTCAGTATTCCTACATTCTCTGCATTTTTATATGAGACTTTAGATTTATTTAGGCTAGGTAACCCTGGACGCATTTTTCCGTTGTTACAATTAATCCTAGATGCAATGAGTAAATATGGTCTTCTCTGTTCTGGTCATTATTCTTACATGTGTATGTTACCAACAAGCCATTTGATGTACCAGCAGAAGAAGGGACTGGCATTATACCTGGGGAATACTGAAGATCTCCAGTTGAATGTTGCCTCAGTACCTCAAAAGCATCTTCAAATGCTTGACCCAGCTTGTCTTGTTCAACACAAGCCTGTTACAACAATGACAGAACTCTGGAATTATGAAATTACCAATTGAACTTAATTATATAAAAGAGGTTTATATAATGGCTCTATTGACATTTTAGGTTGGCTAAGTGTCTGAACAATGACAGAACTCTGGAATTATGAAATTATCAATTGAACTTAATTATATAAAAGAGGTTTTCTCAACCATGGCTCTATTGACATTTTAGGTTGGCTAAGTGTCTGTTGTTGACAAATGTCTTATGCATTGTAGGATGTTTAGCAGCATCCCTGGCCTCTACCCACTAGATGCCAGTAGCACTTCAACAGTTGCGACAATCAAATATGTCTCAGACATAGTCAAATATGTTCTGGGGTAAAAAATTGAACCTGGTTGAGATCCATTGCTCTATAATATAGTATTTAGACACCAGTATTCATTCTATTAAAGTATTTAACATTCTTGTACAATCTTAGCAAGGAGCTGTGTAATGGAAGACTGATTTGGAAAAAGAAATGCTCTTAACTTCAAAAGTATGTCTCCAAGACTTAAAATTAAACTGTTTTACAAATCATTTCATACTCTTATTCATCTGATCCATCTTTTATTTTCAAAATAGAGAATGAGTAAGGAAGATTTTAAAATGACAACTTACCATGTTTCATTAATAAATTGAAAAGTCTGAAAAAGATTTAAAAACAAAATTAAATAATGTCTCTAAATTGCCTCAGAATTAAAAGATCTGACTCAAAATATTTTCTGAAAATATCTTACATAAACCAGATATGCCATCTGAATTCTCTTTGATGAGTACAAATTTTCTTTCTACAAAATTTTCTACTTTTTCTTTTTGTTTTTCTATCATTACGAAACATCTTAAATGTTAAAATAGCTAAATAGAGTTAACTACCTAAACTACTTAACTTAGAATATGGAAATAACTTAGGAATATATTTTCAAAAATTTTTAAGTACTTCAGAATTCTGAAAATCAAAATCTTTTTTTTAACCTTAGCATATCTTTCCATTTATAGCAGTGACTTTTTTAACCTTTCTGATGTCATACAGCCTGTGGAGAATCTGGCGAAAGACAAGCTTTTTCTCTCACAAAGTGCGGATTTACATTACAAATAAAAAACCCATCTGTGGATTTTCTAAATCTTAAGTTAAGAACCCTGGTCTATAATTTTACGCTATCCACTTTCTTATCTTTCTAAGTAATTCAGATTTTGTTTTAAATAAATAATTATCACACAGACTCACATTAAATGTTTTCTTTTTCTTTTTTTTTTTTTAACTCTATGATCTATAAAACCACACAGAAAAACAAACAAATTCATATAACAAGAAAGCATGTGGTGGATCCAACATTGCTTATCATTTCATTTGGCACACCAAACAACTGTTTATACAAGTTCTTAACATTTATCCTGCATCCACAATGACATTAATTTAATATTTAATATTGCATAATACAATGAGATGATATAATCTAATGTTGTTATATACATATACATAGTATATCAATATTTCAAACATCTAAATTCTATGAAGCTCTCCGAAATCACTATAACATGTCAGTTAAAAGAGAATATAAAGAAATATGAAAAAGCCATGAAAATGGTAACTATGTGAGGTGATAGATGTGTTAACTAATCTTATCGCGGTAGTCATTTTGCAATCTATACCTATGTCAAATCATCACGTTGTGAACCTTAAACTTACAATATTATGTCAATTATAATTCAATAGATGTATTTTTTAAAAGCCAGGTCAATGACTTTCAATTAAATTTGCCTCGACTCATAAGTGCCAAAGCGAATACATGAGTGTTGTACTTTGAATTAAAAACTTAAATGAAGCTACTCTCTTTGACTAAAATACCACACAAAACTATCACAGCTCTTAAAAGCAGCCAATTTTAAGGGAAGAAAGAAGTTTGAAAGCATATCGATCACTTCAATTGCTTAATATTTCTTGTATCGAAACGCAGTCAATGAAAAATACTCATTGGGTCAAAAGAGAAAATCAAAACAGTTTTTACAAGGTATTTTGAAAAACATAAGCTAAACACTTACCAGGAAGACACTCCAACTCTTTACAATGATGTTTCATTAATATCAGAATTGCTAAGACAGACAGTCAAGAACTCACTGGCAGAGTTGCATTAAATAACTGTTTTTAAGGAAGTGCTACAAAGGGGATTTTTTTTAAAAGATACAGTGCCTTCATAATTTCTATTTCATGATATGGCCAGTAGACACCAGAGGCTATTATTTTGAAGAGGCACAGAATAGTTTGTATCCTATGGGCCAAAAGCATTAGAACAAACCCCATAAAACCCCCATCCAGCATAAGTTGCAGCTCTGCTGGCCCATTAGGCTTCACCGGAAAACTCTGACCATTACAATGCTTGTCCATTCTTTTTTATTTCTTTTACTTCTCCCCTGGTTTTGGACTCTATATTGCCTTTCTTGCTTAGACTGTTAAAGCTTTCACTCTGGCCTCCCTAAATTGGTCTTTAAAGGCATAGGCTCTTGCCCTGGCATTCGAGGCTCTTCATTACAGTCTTAGCTTTATTTACCGTTGTTCATTTAAGAAAAAGAAATGGAATGATGCTATGGTCTTCCCTCCATGCTTAGATCCAGGAGAGGCTCCAAAACAATTAGGAGAAGCTTACGGGTGGGGATCGATTGTACATGCTCCAAGCTGCTGCATTTGCAGAACAAGTCCAGTTCTCTCACTTAGCATGAAAGCTTATTTGAGATAGTTTTTGGTGGCTCTGATGGAAACTATGGGGTAATCCCTTCACCTATTGTGCTTCCTTCCCAGTCCATCCATCTGCCTGCCCATTTATCCATTCCATCTTACCTGTTCATCAGAGTCCAATCAAGCGTCCGCGCGTACCAGATGGAAATAATCTTTACCTTTGAAACTCGCGTCTGCATCACTCTTAACTAACTGTAACCTACCATTTTAATAGATGTCACATTTAGCCGGGAGGGAAACTACCTAAGAATTTTTTGTAAACCTTGTGGGTGGAGGACAGATTTTCTGTTTTGCATCGTTGATATGAGGTCACTCACCTTTGATATGGGTCTATTGTTCTAGGCCATCTACTTTACAGACCTGATTTGTTATGCAAATGTAAACATACATTCCCCTCTTCTGAAATGTAGATGTTATAGTAACAAGTGTATAATTGCTAATGTTGATGAGTTTTTAATCTGCACAGTCCCCAAATCTACACCCTTTTTGCAAATACTTTATTTCATTCATTTATTCAACAAATATATATTACTGAGCTCTTTCTTCTGCTAGACACTGTCCTGTATCCGGGCATGACAGCTCTAAACAAGTTTTAATGACAAGAAATGATTAAAAAACAAACAAACAAACTAGATAAGTATGAGATAATGATAAGTGCTGGGAAAACATAAGAGAAAGGTGACGAGAGAGTTTGTGAATGGTCATGCAAATTCTCTGAAGAGGGAGCATTTGTGAGCTCCAAGGATGAGAAAGTAAGCAAAAGAAAGGCAGAGAGGCAAAGATCCAGGGAAGCACCTCGTGGCAGAGAAAACAACCAGTAGGAAGAGCCTTAGATGGAAATGAGTTTGGTTTACTCAATGCACAGAAAGAAAGCCAAAAGGGCTGGAGCAAAATGAGCCTGGGGACCAAGAGGCAAACTTGGCACCCTTATGGCATCAGATCAACCCACACATTCAACCAAAATAATAAAAATATATATATATGTATTTTCAAAAGAATCTGAAAATCACCTGTGAGAGCAGTTACCTGCTTAGCCCTATTTCACAGAAGAGGAAATCTAAGCCGAGGCTCAAAGACATTATATGGTTTTTCCTAAGGCCAATTACTAGAGTGAGATGGGCTGACTGGGTCCAGGTTTGGACCCAAATGACTTCATGCTCTCAACTGCTATGTTGGAGCCCTGTGTCCGCAGGTTCGGTTCCATTAGACCAGGGTTCTCAGTCTCGACTGCAATCTCCATAGCATCCAGCAGATTCTTATATTAGTACAAGATTGGTACATACTTGAAATGAATGGAAAAACAAGTAAACTTTCTAAAGCCACATTTTCCCAACTGAAGTGGTGTCTTCAGAGCTTTATTTTGCAATATGTTAATAAATAGATCCTGAGAAAGAATTGAGCAGAAATCAATTTTGCTGCTAGAACTTCTTTAGTGAAGCTGATGAGTATGTTGATTTTTTTTTTTGATATAGTCCATATTACAGATAAGAAAATAGAAATGAAGTTTGGGGTCCTTTGTAGGGCTAAGGGATAAAAATGTTTCAGCAACTTGAAAAATGACTCATTGTTCTTTTAGCATTTAGAGGTCAAGGCTTCCATCCCTCTGAGAATCTGACGAAAGCTATGAGTTTTTTCCCCAAGAAAATGCCACATTATGTATTCTCAGACAACCCTTCCCAGTCAAGCCAAAGGACCACAATTGAGGAGCTCTTGCTATAGTACATTTTCAAAGCCTTTTTATTTAAGATCTTAAGAACTTCCTCTTGAGATATTTGTACCCAATACACACGCCCATACAGAGCATCTTTCTGGGATCGGACACTAGTATTTTCCTCAACTCCAGAAGTGAGCTGAGTAACAAGGGCCCTAAAGAAAGGATCTCTGACTGACAGATTCTCTTTTGCAGAAGTTCGTTGTCCTTGGTGGCAACTGAGATTATTTTAGAAAATCTTAAGCAACAAATGTGCTGGTGTCTAAATCATAGGGCGCTAAATTTCAGGTGGAAGATTGCATTTTCTGAGAGTAGAGAACTTCAGAATCTAGGAAAAAGGAGACTAAATTCAAGCTCTTGTCACTTTGCAATTTCTATTTAAATAACTCAATTGTTTAGGGAGTTATAGAACTGGGTCTTAATTTTAGTAAGATCTCTGAAAACCTAATAAGCAAATAATATTGCTAGACTGTGGAGAAAGTGCTAAAAATTTCTCATGTCAGAGTAGGAAAATTCATAGAATCATAGATTATAAGACAAATAGCTAACTTCACCCTCATTTTGATAATTACTTGTACTAGATTATTCTTTAAAATTTGAGACTTGTTTTGTGGCCCAGCATAGGGCCTCTCTTTATGAATGTTCTATTTGTACTTGAAAGAAGGTATATTTTGCAGTTATTGTACATAGTGCCTAAAAAAAGATCTAGTTAGATCTAATTGGTCAATAATGTTGTTCATATCTTTCATCTTCTTATTGATTTTTTTGTCCGCCTGTTCTATCAATTACGAAGATTACAGCAGATTGCAGAGGTTACAAAGAGTAATGTCCAATTATAATTGTGAATTTGCCTATTTATCCCTTTGTTGTGGCTGCCAGCCCCCAAAAGACACACGGACCACCAGAAATTAGTGAGTTATAGGAAACACGCCCTTTATTCAGCCAGCTGGGTCTGCCAGGGGTACGTAGACCCCAAATTAAGCAGCCCCGAAATGTAAAGGTACAGGATTTTTAAGCCCTAAATCCCATTCCTCATTCTGTCTTAAACACAAAGGTCTATTTTTCTCCTATTCACTACTTGTCAACCCACAGGTCAGTTGTGCAAGCGGGGTACAGAAGCAGAAAGCTTATTGTTAGAATGTTATGTTCCCATGGGTGATAGCCTATGTTCCTATGGGCGATAGCCTATGTTCCCATGGGCGGTAGACAAGCAGTAATTTTCCAGCCAGCACACCTTTAGTTCTGTCAATTTTTCCTTAAGTATCTTAAAGCTCTACTATTGGATTTATACTCATTTAGGATTATGTGCTCTTGATGAATTGAGCCTTTATCTTTATAAAATTTCTGTCTTTCTTTTTGGTAATCCTTTCTGGTAATCCTTCAGGTCTACTTTGTTTTCAACACGTTTACAGTGTCTTTTTATTTAAAGTATATCTCTTTAAGCAGCATATAACTGGGCATTGCTTTTTTCCAAATCCAGTTTGATGATCTCTGCCGTTTCAGTGTTTAGTCTAATTTAGTAATTATTGATATGATTAGATTTAAGGCTACCATCTTGTAATTTGCTTTCAATTTGTCGATCTATTTATTTATTTATTTTCTTTGTTCTTCATTTTCTGCTTCCTTTTGGATTAAATAAGTGTTTTGTATTTCACTTTACTTTCTCCATTAGCTTTTTGTAATTTGATGATTTGACATATCTTTTCATGTATAATGTAAGAACCTTATCGGTAAATAAGGATAACTCCATTTACATCCTTCCTTATCCTCTGTGCTGTGCTTGTCATATATTTACTTCTATGTTATCATAGTAGGTTATTTAACCCTCACAGTAATGCTGTGGGGTGGTATTATCCCCTGTGCTCCAGTTGTGACTCGATCTCTTCTGTATAAACTTGGACAAATTACTTAAACTCTCAGTTTCCTCTCTGTAAAATGTGGATAATGATTTTACTTACCACATAGAGCTATTGTGAAGATTTGAGCGAATCCATGTAATGTACTTTGGATAGTCCCGGCATTTAATTAATGCTTAGCAAATGTTAGTTCCCACTTTATTATTATCTGTTTTACAGATGAAGAAACAGAGGCTCAGGAAGGTTAAGTAACTTACTCAAGGTCACACAGATAGTGAGTGAGAGAGGTGGAAGTTTTCAAACCAGTTCTACCTGACTCCAACCAAAGGTTTTTAACCATTCAATTGACTTTGATTCCTTATCTGTGGAGTAAGACTGGGAATGATAATGTGAATGAGAAGAAGAATTCGATAATCGCTTTATGTCAAAAGGCTCTTGAGAGGTTTTATTGGGATAGTGCAGCAGGAGGGGTTAATATGCACTGTGGTCATGGTTTATCACTTGAATTGCTCCTGTTTTACATCTGGGACCTACAGCTTAGCTGACAAGTGGCAAAGTCAGTACCCAAACCCAGGTCTTCCCTTGTTGTGACTGGTGCCTCTTCCAGGTTGCAAAAATAGTCTCCATAGGCTCTATGTATTTACCATAATTACTTTAATAGCTCCTACCAGTGTTCATACCAATGGAGGAAACTCTTCTGACACAAGACTAGTAAAAAAAACCACATACAGACACACACAAAGATAGATAAATATATACATACATATACATATACATATATATACACATACATATATACATATATGTGTGTGTGTGTATATATGTGTGTATATATATAATGTGTATATATATATATGTGTGTGTATGTATATATATATATACACATATATATATATATACATACACACACACATATATATATACCCTGACAAGAGAATGAATAAATTGTAGTATGTCCACATAATGGAATAATATAGAAGAGTGAAATGAATAAACTATAGCTAAATGCAATGACATGAAAGAATAATGTTCAGTGAAAAAAGTAAAACTCTGGAAACCATTTAAATATGA